CATCATAGATCTTCCAATCTTAAATTCGTATGATTTTATATTTGTGATAGTAGATCATTTTATTAAGATGGCATATTTTGTACCATGTACAAAATCTATCACATATATAAAAAAAAATAGTTAAGATTTTTTTTTACAATATCTATTGCTATTATGGATTATCCAAAGATATTATATCAAATAAGGGGACTCCATTTATATTTAGAATTTAGAGAATCTTTTTTAAGATTTTAAAGATGGATATAAAGCTCTCTTTGGCTTTTTTTATCTACAAACTAATAGACAAACAAAAAAAATGAATTAAGTTCTAAAGCAATATTTGAGGTATACCATCAATTATCATCAACATGATTAGACAACTCTTTGTCATTAGCAGAGTTTGCATACAATAATTTGATACATTCTTCTACTTAATAAACACCTTTTTTTATTAATTCTAGTTATCATCCATGACTTGGTATTTTTTACTTTTCAAAAGTTGATAATCTTACGATGAAAGATTTGGCAAATTGTTTATCAAAGCTACATACAACAATGAAGGTGAAATTAAAAGAAGCTCAAGAATGACAAAAAATTAATATAGATGCCTATTCCAAGGAACAATCACAATTCAATATGAATGATAAGATATGGTTATTTTGTCACAATATTAAAATAATTCATCTTTGTGACAAATTTGATTATTATAAGCTTAGGTCTTTTCTTATTTATAAATAAGTTAATCTTATTGGTTATCAATTACATCTATTGGAGTCTATGAAGATCCATCTCATATTCCATACATTTCTTCTTGAGACATATAAGACAATGAATATCTTGAAAAGAAGACGAATGCCATCTCTTCCTATAAAAATGGATAAAATCAAGAGTTCAAGGTAGAAGAAGTCGTAGATTCAAGTCGGCTCTAAAATAGTTTAGAATATCTTGTTCAAGAGCATAGATATGATATTAGTGAATTTACATAGAAGCCATAAAAGAATCTTACAAATGTAGTAAAGAAGATTGAGGCTTTTCAGTAATGACATCCATCAAAACCAAGATAAAAAATAGCAGGATCCATAAAAGATGATGATTGCTCCTCGTAGAAATTATTCCTAGAAGGAGAGGGATAATATCATGGACATTGAATTTTCTCCAATAATTACCTATTTTATTAGGTAGAAGTAAATAAATATAGATTAATTTCAAAATATCTTCTAAGTTTGAAGTTGATTGGTATAATAGAAGCTTGTAGAACAAGCTAATTATGTGGCACATATATAGAAAACTTATTTTACAAGTTTAGAAATATGTCTAACAAAGTCAACATGTGTTGGAGGTTTTATAAAACATTGTTACATAACTTCTACTTAGATAGTATATATAGAAACAAGAGTGAATCCTTCTTCACTCTTATCAAATTTTTTCTAGTCTTTAATCTTATTTCAAGACTTTCTAGTCTTCTTATCTTTAGGTCTTAGAAATGATATGCCTTTATATTAGTATAATAACTAATAAAAATAGTTTTTATATTTATTAGGTCTAATTTCTTTCTATATACCTTAAGCACATAGTTATTTATTATGCATACAAAGACTTCTAAGTGAAAAGAATGGATATTTTCTTGGTCCAAATTTTATAAGGAATTTTTTAGTTTTTGATATGCAAAGCTATAAAGTTTAGTAAATAAGTAGCTATTTGTACTACTTCTTCTCAAAAGCTCAAATTCATTTCTTTGTATAAAGTATCTTATGCACAAATTTGAATAATATATAATTTTTTTGTTCTATACTTTTATTTTATTCTAGATTATATGGACTTGTGAATTCATGCTAATTTTTAGAATCAATCAAAAATTCATTGAATTCTTCACTTAAAAATCCTCTTCTTTTTTTTTTCTTCCTCCTTGCTATTTTTTTGCAGTTTCTAAGTATGATTTTTAGTCTATAAGAGAACAAGAGTACATATATCCTCAAATTTAATTAAAATATTAGATTTGTAGTAAATTTAAGTAATTATTTAGTAGTCTAAAAAATTATCTTTGTAAAAGATAAGATATTATATATATTTTTAGTAATTCTTGACTTATTATTCTATAAATGTTATTGTGATAAAAATTCGTGATTTTTTGGCTCTTAATGATAATCTTTGTTTCAAAAAAGGCCACTTGATACTATTTTGAAGAGTAAAATTTTAGCAAAAAAAGAAGAGAGATCACATGATTTAATAGCTCTATTTCCTTAGATGATACGATATATTTACATGCATAGAATCATGACATTGTGTATGGCCAAAATGTTGGTACCTCTTTATGGATTTTTTTTGCTTATACCTTATGTGGCTCAATCTTGTTGCTTATACTATAAATTATGGCTATATATGCTTAGGCAATTTGGCATTTTATCCTTAGCTCTAATTTGTATAATTTATTGATATAAAAACTTGTCAATGCATTTTTTGTTTTATTTTGTTTTTTTTTTTTTTTGTGCCTTTCATTTTTCATGAGATAATATTTGTATTTTTTACATATTATGATAAAATCTCAATTTTATGCTTGATCTATTAAAAATAGATTTTTTTTTAAGTCTAAAACATACAATATTTGCTCAACATATTGTAGCTTTCAAATGTCATTGGATTTACATTGGATTCTAATTTGACCAACTTCTTGTATCTAAAATTGCTTATTGTTTACAATCATAATAGACTAGCATCTATAGGATATACTCTTGAATAAAGCAAATTAATCCAACTAATTAGTCTTGTGATTGATTGTTCCTCCATCTATGTACCATGCATCTATATTGTCTACAAGAACATTGTCATATGCTGTAAATATCAAATTGTCATCTCAATCAAACTCTTTAGTTATAATAACATCGGCTTTACATCCTCTAATATCAATGGTTTTTTTCTTTTGACTCATTTTTCTCAGCTTTTGAATTTTCACACTCCTAGTGGCCTTTTTGGCCACATTTTTTAAATTTTGTTTTTTTCTTAAACTTTACAATCATGGCAAATTATTTCTTTATCTCTTTTGAAAAGAGATATTTAAAGCTTAGATTCAAATCATAGTAAGTGCTAAAAAAAGACTCTTTCTTTTTTGTCATTTGTATACTCTTAGATGTGAATCTTATTCTCTTCTTTGAGTAATTACAAAGCCAATGCTTTGATAGTTTGCTCATGTTATGAATTGGTGTCTCAAGTTGAAAATAGATGGTAAAATCTTTGCAACAAGATACTCAAAATTTTGCAAATGACTACTTGGTCCAAAATAGATTAGCAAAGATTATTCAATTTATTTGCAAGTTACTCTATGTAATTGACATGATCAATTTCTTCAGTATTTGGCTTTGTTTTTATATCAAAGAATTATTATTGTAATAGTGATATATTCTTTATAGCATTTTATTCATAAATTATGCACAAATAATGCCATATTTTATTAGATGTTTGATAATTCATTAGATTGTCCTTGAATTCTTTTTATTAATAATAAACATAAAGAAAGATTAACAAGCGACATCCTTATAAGCCTATTTTTTTTGTTAGTAAATTGTTCTTTTGAAGTTGTACCATTTACAATGCTTAAGAGCATTCTTGTATAAAATAGAATGTTTATTTAAAATTTCTAAATAAGAAAAAAATTTCATATAAATTTCTTTATATGTATGGTACTAATATTCATAAAGTCATATTTGGAAGAATTTTTTGCAACAAAAGGCAATAGTCTAACAAGAATTTGGCTTTGAATTGATCAATTGAAAGTTTTTTCTTAGAAAAGCACATGTTCTTTATAGATCTCTTCTTCTATTAAAGCAATGAAAGAAAAATTTGAACAAAAGAAAAGAAAGAAAAAAAAAAAAAAAAAAAAAAATCTATCACCTGCAAAACAATAGTTGTGTGTATGTAAAATACACAAATTAATTAAGTTTCAAAAGAATAGCTAAAAGAGATATTTATTTGCTTGAATTAATTTCTTGGAAAAAAAATTTTGTTTCTTAGGAGAGACAATGAGAATGAGGACTCATAATTTGTTGAAAGTAAATAAAAAGAATCCAAATGCTTTAATTTAGATCACACAATATTTAAATACATGAAAGACTTATTTTTATTTGTTATGTAGAAATAGAAAGTATGCTTTTTGCACAAAAAATTGTGCATTTAAAACACTTAGTTGTTACAACTTTGGACATTTGATGAAAACAATGTGATCATTATTTGTTTAACTAATTTAATTTGGTTTTTTAACTACTTGATTGTCCAACTTGATGCTTATATATATATTTTTTAAAAATATGGAATGCAAATGTGGAGTAAACCTTGCAAATACCACCTCCAAATATGATTGCAAAGATGGCAACTCAATTCATAGAAGCTAAAAGTCTTTTGTTGACAAGAGTAAGGTCAATTGAGTTGATCTCTTTTTTCTTGATAACCTTGGCAATAGCAATGAACTCATTTGGCAGGCTCTTAAGATTATGCAAGGGTTATTGCGTAGGGCCATTGCAAGGCAAGTACGTCCATGAAGATGCCATCTATTCATTGAAAAACTCTCAAAATAAATAATTTGCTTCAAATAAAATTCATCTCAATACATATTCATAAATATTACTCCATCATTTAAAGGCCATCTTTAACAAGGATCCAAATATTTGAGAGGACTAAAATTAGAAAAGAAGCCACAGTAATCAACCAAAATTAAATAACATCACAACGAATCAGAATAGCAACCAAGCCATAAGAACACGAAGCAATCGACGGCCCAGATAAAATCTGAGCTGAACGAGAAAGCTGTTGTATCGTTGCGCCACGTCACCATCCACGAGAACAGCGATGTTCACCATGGTTCCCATCTCCAGCTGGATAAGGCTCTATCTGGCCCACCGTTCCAACCAACGTTCCCTCGTTCCCCACAACGTGGGCTTAAGGAGATTGATGCGGATTCATACGGAATTAGGTCACGGAAACATGCGCTTTCTCGGGGCTAAAGGCCTTGGGTATGCGGTGATAGGTCTGGCTTTTCAAGCGGAGCGGGCATTCTATCCTCTCGCTCCACCACCAACGCCCAACAGGGCGCTCCCTTGCCCCAGAATTTGCTTCTGCGGGCAGATTGTTGATGTGGAGTAGTCGACCTCACAGGCCTCTTCGTCACTGCTGCTTGGTTTAGCATCCTTCGCTGCGCACTTGGAGTCCTTTCTCAGCCTCTGAGGTGCATCTTCCCGTCGTTGGTGGTTGTTTTGCTGCATTTGATGTTCTGATCTTTGGAGCTGGCTGCAATTCTGCTGGAGCAATGGCAGTTGTTGCCTTTGGGTTTTGTGGGCAATGTTGGTTTTAGAGTGACTCTGATTTCCTTCACTCTAGAGCTTGAGTGCACTTGTTTGACTGGTCGTAGCTGCCTGCGGTGGGGTCCATTTTACTTCAGTACCTGGACGTCATTAGTTTTTAAGCCCTTTTGGTGAGGATAGACGCGGATGGGGTTGTTTTTGGATTTGAGTGTGTGAGAGAATGTGCTGATTTTGACGCTTTTCTGTAGAGGATTGTGGAGTGCGCTTGGTGGACATGGCAGCCAATGCATTCCTTGCGAACAGGTTGACGGCCGCGCCTTCACTGGCCTCGGCTTCCTGCTCACACACTTCTTCAGCTGTAAGTGTTTCGGTTCATGTTTTGTCGTGGATTTCCAGCTCCGTTACTCATCCAATCGAGTGTGATTGTTGGGATTCCTTCAGTGGTTCACGTCAATGCGTAAAAATGTAATCCACGAGTCCTTCAATTTCCTGTGGTATAACTTGCTCAGCATTGTTAATTGCAACTCGGAGGGACATAGTTTGAAATCCTTCTTAGGTCTTGGAAAGATAATAATATTTTTCATATATTGCGCAGCTAGAGGCAAGTCCTGCAGTATGCGGTGTCGTCACAAGACCTGCAGCTCCGACCATGAGCCTTAGCAGCGCCATGTGGGGTATGAAATTGCAAACCTCCGTAGCACCCAAGCCGGTGAAGGCAGGAAGTTCTATTGCCGTGGCCGCATACGACGACGACGAGGAAGAGGAGTCCGAAGAGGATATCACCGCTGCTTATGAAGCTTTGTATGGGAAGGCGTTTGAGGGATTGAAGAAAGGCTCAAGTGACGATGACAATCTTGGGGATGAATCACGAGGCCGGCGTGGTGGAGACCGACGGGGCGGCAAAAACACTGAGGATAAAATGGAAGAGAGAGTGGTGCAAATTCGTCGAGTAACCAAGGTGGTGAAGGGAGGCAAGCAGATGTCCTTCCGTGCTGTGGTCGTGATTGGAGATAAGAAAGGCACAGTTGGTGTGGGGGTTGGATCTGCGAAGGAGGTCATTACTGCCGTGCAGAAGTCGGCTACTGACGCCCGGCGCCACTTGGTCACTGTGCCCATGACCAAGTACCTGACATTCCCACACAGGTACATACTCGCTACCATCAGTCTTCTTCATTATTATGCTTCATCTGGCTTGGTGACGGAGTTAGTGTGTTGAACAATTATTATTTTTATGTCGTGAGTAGTGTATCATGGGAACTGAACTGTTCGTGAATCGGTTAATCAAGTTTGAGCAGCATTGTACGCTCTCTTTCTGCACTGAATACCGCCCAACATATTGTGCAGCTCCAGCAACTTCGTTTTTAATCATGCTACTTCGTGTACGGTAGGTCTTCGTGAGGGGTCAGCACAGAAACTTGATCATTCCCCGGGTCCTAAATCTCACACATTATGGTCATTGTAATTATCCAGTCCGAGCTTTGTGTGAGATTAGAGTGGCTGTTTCTGCAGCTCTACAAGCGTAGAGCTCCGGAAGAAACAAACGTCGTTGGAGATAACCAAAATATATCCTAACTAATTGTTGTCACAACACATCTCTAAGATACAGTTTCATTCGTACTTGAACACGAAGTCCTCAAGGGATCAACCATGAGTCCTAATGTCCAATCCTGCACTTATTTTGATGTTTATCTCAGAGCCGATGGAGAATACGGTGCAGCCAAGGTGATGCTCAGGCCTGCGGCGACAGGAACAGGAGTTATTGCTGGAGGTGCTGTGCGTGTGGTGCTTGAGTTGGCAGGAGTAGAAAACGCTTTAGGGAAGGAGCTGGGAAGCAAGAATCCTCTCAACAACGCCAGGGCTGTTGTCGAAGCTGTTGGGAAGATGAAGCAGTTCAGGGATGTAGCAAGAGACCGTGGCATCCCCATGGAGGAGCTCTGGAAGTAAACTACTTACTGGGTATGCACTAAAACATTCTTGGCTAGTTTTACGAGAATTTTTGGCATCCCCCCTGTATCAGCATAATCTTCCTCTTTCCATTTTTCTTATCAAAGAATGTCTTATTTTTTAGATGCCGAAGTTTACTCGTGTTACACTTATTTGCGTCAGATGCCAGGACGATATGGCTTTGTCGTTATTTGGTTCTAGTGTGATGCACAATCTCATGAAGGCGTACAAATTTTATCCTGAGTGTTCACTCTGTGCACCTCATACATCCTGAGTTTTATAATACACATGTTTGTTCAACCTTAGTTTGTGGTTCACTGAGAATCATGATGCATTGTACTTGTGTACCAAAAGTACCCTACAAAAGAAGTTTGTGCGGTAGTTGGTATGATGAACGGAAAATGTGAAGCCATTGTCAATCTTTTCAAAAACAATTTTCATCGTTAATCTAGTCATTTTATATGTTTCATGTGTCTCGGCATGAACCTCTTAATAGCTTGGAAATGATTTATTTGTGATTATCTTTGCTTCTCTTGTGTAATATGGTATTGTATTTCGAACATCTAGTGGTGTCTTTGCTCCAATTTTAAGATTTTCTAAGTAATCCATGATGTATATGCACAAACCCATAATTTATGTTTACTAAAAAACATTAGTATCATATTTGATATACGAAAAAAAATTAATATTCTAGTGAATTACTTTCCTTTCTAAAAATTAGAGGTATCTAAATCATATTCATTTGTACAGCATTTTTTTGGATTGGTTTTTCGGATAAGAACATTGTTACTGACTTTGCAATGAACAGAAAATTAATAAGGAGGATTAGCAATTAACAACAGACGATGTTTTTAATTTGTCTTTTCAAAAATCTTTAATATTACATTTGTACATTTATGATGTCATACATATATGTATATATATATATATATATATATTATTATAATAGTTCAATCCCACCCTTATATCTATCTATCTATCTATATATATATATATATGAATAAGTAATAGAATTGGAAATACTACATACATGCCATACATACTTGAGGTGCATAAATACCTTATAGCAGCAACATACCACATAGAGATGACATTGTGCTCCATATATGCATACAATGTTGTGGTCTCTTTATATCACTTTGCATGGTCTTACATCGAACTTGCTTCATACCAAAGTCAATAGACTCTACATGTGTATAACAACTTGACTTATATGAGATATGTGCTTGCTAATTGAATATCAATGTGGTTGTATATATTATCATGTGATTAGATGCAATCAAAAAGGGTGTCTATAAAATTGCCTACAAAATTTTGTAGACACCCTTCTTATTTACATCTAATCACATGATAATCCTCATTAATTTTCTATTAAATTATTTGACTTTTTTTCTCTACTAATTTGACCTTTTTTTCCACTGATTTATACTTGGTTTCAATACGTATCTCTTGGCAATTTAAATTTTTTATAAATCCATGAATTTCATGATAAAATTTTTTAGAACATACATTAATAAATCTATTCTTTCCTTACAATCCACCTTATAATAAATAATTTAATTTTTCCATAGTATCTACAAATCCTATTTCTTCAAATGCTCCTAAAATAAATTTATTTTCAATCAATTCTCCATTTTTTTTCGATTTTTGCTCAAAATTTTTAACATAACGTTTATCCATCTTTTTCATCTTGTCAATAGATTGAAAAGACAATGGACAATCTTATGTCAATTCAATAAGTCCAATAGATAATATCTTCTTTTTTTTTATTTAGCGGGAGCATCTCTTTTTCTAACCTATTGCAATTCCATCTTACAATAGTGTGCACTAAAAATCCTCAAGGTCTTCAAATTTCTCATTTGATAATGGCTTCTCTCTCAACTTATTGTGGTTTCTTTCATGATTGGCTTAGACAGTTAAAAATTGAATTGTGTTCATTCCATCTTAACTTTTTATTTTTGTATAGACTAAACCATCATCTATTATTTTTGTTTCCATTCTTGTAACAATAATATATAGTTGTCCCAATATAATAGGATATATAGACATGTCTTGCACAAAGAAATTTTGTTCATGAATAACATCTCTTATTATCACTTTGATATTTTGAATTATTTGCCGCTTTTATCATCCACGTGATTGAGGTGCCCCCTTCCAAATAAGTCTATTACTTGAGGCCAAAGTAACAAGTTGAAAAATTTATCACCTAGTATTGAATGAACTTGAAGAGCTACAAAAGATATTATACAAACTTTTAGAAAAGGGCTTCATTTGAAAAAGCATGTTGCCATGGAGAGCACTTATATTCTTTGCATCCAAAAAGGATGGTGGACTTTGACTTTGCATTAACTATTGGTGCCTCAATAAATAGACTATCAAAAATATATATCCACTTTTACATATGGATGATCTTCTTGACCAACTTTGAGATGCAACCATCTTTAGCAAATTGGACCTTTGGAATTGCTATTGGCAAATACCTATTACAAAAGAAGATATGAAGAAGATGGTATTTTATATGCATTATGGATATTTTTAATAGCTTCTTTTACCTTTTGGCATCACCAATGCTCTAATCTCATTTATGGATCATAAGAACAGATTGTTTTAGGACCTTTTGAACAAGTATATAGTTGTCTTCATTGATGATATCCTAGTCTATAGTAAAATCCTTAGAGAGTATGAGCAACATCTATGGAAAGTATTATATTGCCTACAAGATAGTCACTTCTATTACAACCAATCAAAGCATGAACTTTGAAAGTCAAAGGTCACCTTTTTGGGGCATATAGTGTCTTCTGAAGGCATACACATAGAACAGAATAAGGTGAAAGTAGTAGAAGGTTGACCAATCTCCAAAGATACTTGTGAAGTCTACTTATTCTTAGGCCTTGTTGAATATTATTATTATTTTGTTTCATGATTTACATATATTATTATTTAATTGACAATACTATTTGAATAGAAATTAGAACAAAAAAAGACCTTCAATAATTTAGAGAAGATACTTATTATTGCTCCAATATTATAATTGTATAATCTCAACTTTCTATGTATACTTAATATTGGTGCTTTCGACTTTTTTTTATTAGCACGGTCTTTCAACAAGACTTTGATAGGATCTCCAACTTATGGCATATAAATCATAGAAGCTCAAAAGAGCAAAGCACAATTATTTTAGATGTGATTGAGAGAAACTAGTAGTTGTAGATGCCACAAAGATATGGTAATATCATTTGTTGGAGAAGCCAAAGATTGTTGAGATTGACCAATTATTCTTGCTACATGATTTGCATTTAAAAAATATAAAGTCATGACATCATTGTTGAAAAGAACACTTGCAACTCTTTGACATTCAACTTGAGTACAAGCCAGGGCAAGAACATATTGTGCTAGACACCTTATTGCGAAGACAAGACTTGAAATCCAAATTAAAAGATAAAGTAGAAGTCATTATTGTTAATACTATTATTTCAAACTTCATCAGAGAAGCAGAATGGAAAGAAACTATATATTAGGATGCTTATTTCAAAATAGTTATTAATTGGCTAAAAATGGATAATATGCAATATTAAGATTATTATGTCAATGATGGCTTATTTTACTTCAAAAAGTAGATTTATGTATCTAAAAATGCTATACTTTAGACATCCATTTTTTAAGAAAGACATAACATTCTAATATTTGGATATTTAAAGCGTGAGAAGGCTCTAAAATGGATCTCAAGGATATGATTTTGGATAGGTTTGGATTATGATGTTTGAGCTTTTGTATACTCGTAGAAGTCACTCCAATATAATAAAGTAAAAAATTTAGTATTTTTTTGGTTATTGCAGCCAATTCTACTACTATAGGACGTCAAATTTACCACTTATGTCATATTATGTGTCATCTTATTTGGAAATGCACTGGGCATCTAGCTGTAGAAGGTGGAATTGTGTTTTATAAGTATCAAAGAATCTTAATATGTATCATCTTTATAAGAAGAATGTAATTTGAACTTTAATTCAAAAGTCCTTAAATCTAATACAAAGTGTCCAAAAACACTCTTCTTAGTAATCTCAACCATACAAAAACTCCAATTTCCTTATTACTTTCATAATTAGGTAATTTTGAATTTTCTTTGCAAACCTTAACTCTATTAGTAAACTTTAGTAAGTTGTAGCTCCTAATCTAACTATATACTTAAAGCAAAATTTTGCACATAAATGCCACTATTAGTCTTTCATGTGCTTAAAAAGAATTCACCGCAATCCAACTTTCAAATTGTGAGAAAATGTCCAGAAACCATACTCATATTACTTTGCCATCAACTTGAAAGTTGATACAAATGTTCTAACACTCATTTTTCTTTCTCCAACCATTAACTTCAATTCAAAATTGGTGTGTAGCTTGATCTTTAAGTCTTCTAATACCATACCAAATGTCACTTTGATCCGATTAGTAGATCTTTAGATATCATAGAAACTCTATCGAACCTCAAACTACCAATTTTTGGTATCTTCTTGTATTATTCGTCATCAAATTAACTCACTAGTTATTTTAGGATAAAAATATGCATTTAGAATGCTTAGAATCAAAATATATGGTGAATAGTATAGAAATATTTAGACAAATAGAAAATTAGTGTATTAGTTGTAGAATTGGAGTCTTAGTAAGTCTTGGAGGTAATTATCTTAATTGGTTTAGTATTTTTTTTTACTTATTATTGAATATTGAGGAATATTTACTAAATTCAATATTTATATTGGCCTTCTATCTATAAATATTATATATAAAAAAAACTATAAATGATAAATAGTAGTTAGAAGAAGCATGAAAAAGAACCTCATGTCTTTTTATTTAGTTATATAGAAAGTAAAATCTATAGTAGATTTAAATTTATTTTATTACTATAAAAATCAAAAAGATAAGAAATTATAGTCTTAAATTGATATTAGTATTATAGAACCATTATAAGAATTTTTAAAATTTATTTAGAATTTTTTAGGAAATTTTAGAGCAATTTCCAAGACTTTGGTAAAAATGAGTTTTATCACTTTAAGAGCCATTATGAAGAAATGGAGCAAGATTTGAAGGCCAAAAAAAGTTTCTAAGCTAATTTGGTATTTTAAAACACCATGGTGAAGACAAAAACATAAAATTATGGATTTTTCTAGTAGAAAATAGGAGGACCAATAGCTAGTGTAGTCCTTATAGGAAGGGAGGTGCATAAGTCCCATATGGATTGTAGCACCTTAAAGGTAGTTAGGAAGATAAGACTAAGGCCTCGTGGCCTTTCTTAGGAACCTATATACACTACTTGTGAGCCTTGATGAAGTTCGAAGTCTTGATTTCTAAGCAATTTATCCTTAAGGTAAAATTATTTACTTTATTTTTCTTTTATTTACTTGTTATTTTTAAATCTTCATATCTTACTCATAGTAAATCGGATTTACATGGTTTTTATATCATTAAAAAGA